GAGGTTTTAAAAAACGTTGAACAGCCATTCATTTTTCAAGGAGGGTAATTATATTGAAACTCAAAATGAGAAAGTTAAAAAGCCAAATGGATTTTTTTTTTTTTTTTTTGAGATGAGCTGGATTATGGGAAGACAAAGATTTATTTTTACTACCACTGGCAGGAGAAAGGCTTTTCTATTTGGAAATCCAGGAGGCTTAAAGATGATACTTTATTTGTACAATTTCAACATAATAAAAGAGATTCGGCTATAAAATTTTCACAGTACTAGAGATAATATTTTGGAAGAAAATTTGAACAGTCCATTGCAATATGTATCAGTCATGCAAAAGCATCTGCATTTATAACCTGCTTTCTTAAGAAAAAATTAAAAGATGGGAAAAGAATATACCTTTCATAATAAAAAGAACGTTATGCAAAAACAACTTGCACGCTATTGAAATATTATTTTTCTATAAGGTTTCATAACATCTCGTTTTTATATGTGTGCCACATCCTGCACTAATCGTGTGCCAAGGGTAACATTATCCTCACTTTACAGGCAGCAAAACGGCTTTGGAGAAGCTATCTAATTTCAACTTGCCCAGGGTCCCCATTCCAGTGAGGGCTAGAATAGCGCTCTTAAATGTGGTGTTATTTCATGGAGTCACTTGAATATTAATACATTCATTTGTCTGTCACTTGACAAAACACACACCCACCATTTATTTCCCATTGTCTTCCCAAGTTTATTGCCTACATGCTAATTATTCTTTTTGCTGATGGAATGGCAGTCCCATATTTCATTACCATCCAGTCCAATGTGAACACCCAGGATGCTCTTCTTTTCCATGGCAACGGAAAAATAAATACTGATTAACCCACGGGCACTCTAGCACATCTAATGATCTGCCTGAAAACGCAGTCAAGGATTTTATGACATCAGATATGAGGGAGCAATGCAAAGTGATGCTTCCTTTCCCGCTGAGAAGCAAATGAGTGCCCCTCAGCAGGTCTGACCCTAAACAGCTGGGTTTGTAAAGTCCCCACTTAAATCCCTGGGAGAAAAGCCTCCCCAGGGCAGCAGAGCTAGAATGCTCGCAGTCTGCAGCGGGACAAATCAGTGCCCATCTATGTGGCCATAGAGTTTGTCTGGGACCTTCCACCCCAAGGGTCACTTCAGTTGCAAAGGACACCGCTAATCACTTTATATTTTAAATATCAGACGTGGTTGATTACAACCAAATTTAAACTGGCTTACACCTTTTTTAAAGAAGCCCCTAATTCAGATGACTCAGAGACAGGCTTCTCCAATATTTATGAAGTCCTTACTGTGTGCTAGGCAATTTGCTGAGCATTGAGAGAGAATGGTAAACCAGACAGACAGACCGGGTCCCTGCTTTCAGTGAAACCGAGTATTCCCGGGAGACTCCCACCTTGATCTCCTCCAGGAGAAACAGGTAGACCAGATACTTTTGAGGTGTTTAATGACTTTTGAGTTACTTTCTTGGAAACCTCCAAATAAAAATAACACATGATGCCGTTACGTGGAATATTTTTGGCATTTCACTTTTTTCCCGTGGAGATGACTATCTACCCGATACTCAGAACACTTAAAGAACGTGTCTAAGAGTGGAAGGAAAAGGATGAAACGGATGAAAACAAAAGAAGCAAAGTGATCATGTTCTGCAGAGGTGAGAGCCTAAGGCCAGCCAACAGGAGTCACGTGTCTAGTCAGTCGTGGCTCCTCAAGCCTTGGCCTCTGCGTCACAGGTCCTGCCTCTGATTTCCTTCAAGCGTCAGAAACACCATGTCCGGAGTCTGACCAAGGTGCTGACCAAGGCCTAACCATCTCCAGGGACCGTGGGAACGCTTCCACTGAGGTTTTCAGAAAGCCCAGCTCTGGAAGAAGTTCAGGGAGAAGGTGCCAATGAACTTCCCTCACACCCAGATGTGGTGTGAGGGAAGTTCAGGGAGAAGGAACAAGATGCTTCCCTCACACCACATCTGGGCACTGGTGCCCTCATGTCTCCTTCCTGAGCTCTCATCCTGGTCCGCTGCCTGTGCCCCATGCCTCCCGCCCTTCTAAACTTGATAAAGTTCAGGATACAATTGCTCATACACGCTTACCTCTTTTAAGAGGCTAATGACTGTTGTCCTCTTACTTATGAGGGCGACTTCTCAAACCGGGCCCAGCGCAGACACCCAGGACCCGGGCTGGCTTCCCTCTGGCCCTGGCTTCCTCAGGAAGGATGCCCGGTCTAATCAGTATATTACCCTTTTGTTATTATAGAAGATTACGTGCCTATATTTCTTCAGACAAAAACACTTAAAAATTACAATCCCGTAATCAAGTTCAGTGTTCTTCCTTCACTCCCCACATATGAACTCAGATGCAATAACTTTCTGCTTCAAGTACTCCCCTCCTTACTCAATGACTCACCTCTATCAACTAAATGCCACTTACTAGTACTTGTACCTCCCTAGACTTCACAATATCTTCATAGCAAACCATCTATCTTATTTACGATACATACCTATTTTGTATTGTCATGTGTATGCATTTTATTCCCTTTATTATTTACTAGAGGCCCGGTACATGAAATTCATACAAGGGGGGAGGGGATGCCCTCAGACCAGCCTGCACCCCCTCAATTCAGGGACTCCTTGGGGGATGTCCGATCGCAGATTTAGGCCCGATCCTGGGGATTGGGGCTAAACATGTGGTGGTTGGACATCCCTCTCACAATCTGGGCCTGGCTCCTAACTGCTCACCTGCCTGCTTGATCGCCCCTAACTACCTTCCCTGCTGGCCTGGTTGCCCCCAACGGACTCCCCCCATCAGCCTAGTTTCCCCTAACTATTCCTACCCCCCACCAGCCTGGTCGCCCCTAACTGCCCCACCTGCCAGCCTGGTCACCCCCAACCGCCCCCTCCTGATGGCCTGGTCACCCCCAACTGCCCCCACCCCTTGCTGGCCTGGTCACCCCCAACTGCTCCCCGACCTGGTCATCCCCAATTCCTTACCCCCCCGCATCAGCCTGGTAGCCCCAAACTGTTCCCCCCACTTCCCCCACACCGGCCTAGTTAGCCCCAACTGCTCCCCTTGCCAGCCTGGTCCCTCCTCACTAACCCTCCTGTTGGCCTGGTTGCCCCACACAGCCTGCTGTTTGGTCATTACTGTAAGGGCATCCTGACCAATTTGCATATTATCCTTTTATTTCTTTATTTATTATTTTAAAAATATATATTTTATTGATTTTTTTACAGAGAGGAAGGGAGAGGGATAGAGAGTTAGAAACATCGATGAGAGAGAATCATGCATCAGCTGCCTCTTGCACACCCCCTACTGGGCATGTGCCCACAACCAAGGTACATGCCCTTGACTGGAATCGAACCTGGGACCTTTCAGTCCACAGGCCGACGCTCTATCCACTGAGCCAAACCGGTTCCTGTCATATTATCCTTTTATTAGTATAGATAAGCTTTTGGAAGGCTGGGCTGCCTTATAAATAAACCAAAATGCGTACACATGCAGGGTGGAGATTGGATTTGTTATAAGCTCTCAGGGCGGTGTCTCCATGTTTGGTTTAGTGGTGTGTTCCCAGTGCCTAGCAGGGGGCCAAGTGCATGAAAAAAATATAAAGGAAAGTCTTCAAACAGCAGCTGGCTATTTTTTTTTTTTTATTTTTTTTTTTGCTTTGTGTTTTTAAGATTAAAACTTGGTTCACAAAAATACTTCTCCAATAGTTAAAGGCATAAGCAACTTTCATGGTTGCAAAAACACATATTATTCCTCAGGCAACAAGTTTGCTCAAAGATCCCTGGCTCATTAGCTCAGTTGGTTAGAGTGTCGTCTTGATAAGCCAAGATTGTGCCTTCTTTCCCTGGTCAAGGCACATACAAGCATCAACCAATGAATGCATAAATAAGTAGAACAACAGATAGATGCTTCTCTCTCTCTCTCTTAAATCAACAAATGAAACAATTTTAAAAAGTTTGCTTAAAGATTTCACAAGAAAGGGAAATACATCACAAGGACTGTTTTGAGAGCACATAAAAAAGAGATAACTATTCCAATGTAAAAATCAGAAGTCAATGTCTTTTTACACAGTTTCTGCTCTATACCCAAATTCTAAGCATTTTCCTCTTCACCATCTCTCTCTGTCCTTGGCCTCACAGGTTCACCAACACCTCGGTTACAAGGTTTTCTCTGCTCTATTTCAAGCACGTGTAAATATAACCACCTCTCCTGTTCTGTCTTCCACCTTAAGTTACAAAATGTCACCTTTACTATTATATAAAATACTTACAGGTCATTTGACCTACATATTTCTTTGTCAACGTGTACTTTTACACTGTGCACTTAACAAATCTTTCCTCCTTACCCAAATACAAATTCAGGGGATCACAGCCATGAAAAACACCTCCATAAAATTATATTATATGATAGCCCAGAAGATAGAACATTGAAAACAACAACAACAAACTTTCCTATTAGCAAGGTTATTTTGTGTTGTTCAATAGCGTTCACAATTTTTTTTTTTAAAGCAAAATACAGTAGTGGGCCAAAGTAAGTTTATTGTTGTGAGTACACGAAACACAATTAATAAAGCAATTATAATAGTAATAAGTTGCATGCCTTTTTCTATATGAACAACTGTAAACCTACTTCTGCTCATCCCTGTATAGACAGTATCACCAGAAACTTAAGCAGGATATTAAATCAACAATATACAGATCGATATGAGCAAGATGCAGTCACTCAGTAACCTCCTCCCATGATGCTTTTGTGAAGCCGCTTTCTCGTCTTGCATTAAGCAATTCCTTCAGCTGTCAGACATGAAGCTGCAATCTACTTACATCAACGTGGATCAAACAGTGCACATTACATTACAGCAGAACTGTAATAAGGTACCATTTAACCTCAGGAAGATAAAATATTTTCACAGCTACCGGAATATAAAATACTATGAGATGATTATGTTGTTCAATAGTTTTTAAAAATAGGATTTTACTTACATCAAGAGAGCCTTCATTAATAACGATCATTCCCATGTTCTTTCTCAGAAGTTTGCAGGAGTGTCCTGTGTCCAAACATAAAGGGAATTAACTGATGCAATACATTCCTAGAGAGATGTTATGGCAGCCTGAGCTAACAACCTGTTTCCAAAAAATGAATGGAAACTGGCAACCTTCTTATTCCTATCTCAGAAATAACCTTTGGTCAAATAAACAAGCATCTATATGCAACCTGCCATAATCCCAATTTCTAGACTTTCACAGATAACTGCCGAAATGTTATCTACATGTGCCAATTGTGGATGAAAAGTGGGGGTAGGCAAGGATACAAAGGGGAGTACGGGTATTATCTGGTTATAAGAGCTACAATATTTAGCCATTGTAATTTTAAAGAGGCCCCGGGGCCAAAAGTTGACAGATAAGCCCAATAACATAAATATGGAATTCTTTTATTTTATTTTTTATTTTATTTTATTTATTTATTTTTAAATATATATTTTATTGATTTTTTACAGAGAGGAAAGGAGAGGGATAGAGAGTTAGAAACATCGATGAGAGAGAATCATCGACCAGCTGCCTCCTGCACACCCCCAACTGGGGATGTGCCTGCAACCAAGGCACATGCCCTTGACCGGAACCGAACCTGGGACCTTTCAGTCCACAGACTGATGCTCTACCTATTGAGCCAAACCGGTTTTGGCAAATATGGAATTCTTAAAGATTTTTTTCAAATCTTGAAATATCTCTCGTTTATCTCCTATAATATATCAAGCTGTTTTAAAGCGTCACATTTAAAGTCTGAATTAGGTGAGTTACCAATGTTAATGGCAGTTTCTTGCTTGTCCCCAGTGAGGATCCAGATTTTGATGTCTGCTTTCATGAGCATTTCTATGGTTTCAGGCACTTGATCTTGTAATTTATCCTCAATGGCGGTAGCTCCAAGAAGCTGAAGATTCTGGGAAAACAAGTGGTAAACATTTAAGAAAACCAGTTTAGATCCCCTAAGAACAAAATGTTTAAGTGTGCATATGCTTTTAAAAACAAGATTAATGGTAATTCATGGACTCTGGTTTTAGTTCCAACTAGCCGGTTGAGCTCTCTCTCTTACGGATCCCTGATTTTCCTCCAGTGCTTTTGGCATGTGACTGAGGCTACCATCCTACCTCACTTCTCTCTAAGCTAAGAAACAGATTCTGAAAATAACAGCAACAACAATCACACTATAGAATGGGGCAAATCAAGTCAGTTAAAAAAAAAAATCAGGCATCTACTAAAAATACATCTTCCTAAAAGCAATGGGGAATAATAAGGGGACATCTGTAATATTTTCAACAATAAGATACATTTAAAAAAATCTAAAATCGAAGTGTTATTAAACATTGCTATATTGTAGAACATTTTCTTTTACATATATTCCAAATAACTTCTACAACTATTAGAAGCACTTGATGCATGACTTCTTAGTATATAAAAATATAAGACAGGAAGATAAATTTCCTCCTTTAAGGAGACAGTATTATTTTGTTATCTTTAATGGAAAAGAGATTTGAAATCTATCATAACCTGATGAATAATTATCATCAAGATGTTTAACAATGAAAAGGAAGGACAGTTCAGCATCAAGTACGCCAACATCACAATGGCTATATTTCAATGTTTGGACAATGATTCTATCAATTCTTTTGTTTACTTTCAGGGCATTGGAACCCAAATCATTCTGGCCTATATCCCAGGGATGGTCAGGATATAGGTGAGTTTCAAATGCCACATATTCTATGGAGACGTGATCAAATTTTAAGATGATCGTGGAGACAGTTCAGAAACACAAACTCTCAGATATTTCTAAACCAAAGAATCTTTTTTTTTTTTTTGTAATATGTTTCACCAGTACATATGTAGATAATGTGAGAGCCAAGGTGAAAATACATTCATTAGGAATATGTAAACAAGTACTGTATATTTGTATTTTCTCGCTCTATGCTAAGGGGATAGATAAATGAGCTTAGGAAGTACACAGGTATTCATCTAATAAAGATAAAATGCACTGAGGAGATAACACTGAAAACATATTTGAAAGAAGAGACGCACCGATTTTGCACAGTTAATACAAAGAAAACAATTTTCAAGTCAGGCAAAAATAATATAAGGGACCAAGGAGGCTGGACCAGCAACGCATATGCTGATTAAAGTTACAAGTTAACCTTGAAGTGTGTTAGTGGCTGCAACAGGAATTTATAAAAGGTAGTGAAATATTTCTGAATATTCAGCGCAACTGCAATGGGTTCCCTTGGATGCCTATAAGGGAAATACTGTGCTCCAACGCCTGTTAATTCCCCCTTCATCCCCACTGGCTCCTGAGAACAGCACTTACTTCCTTCAGTGAAAGTCTCTCCATCTCCTTCTCTTTGGCCCTGGTGTCCCTTATTGTGAGATTAGGATCTTGAGTGATAGGCTGCTCTGCCTCTGGAAATCCATATCTCTAAGCTCCATAACGATCATTAGAAAAAAGACGCGAACTTTGTGTGCTTTTCCTGATCATAACACCAGAGTGTTTAGGCCTTAATCAATTTCATCCCAAACATGTATTACCTTACACAAACGGCCACTAATGGGCACTATGGGAATTACATATTCAGCAAGTGTTGAAACGTGATAAAATTCCCTTGGCATTTATGGAATTAAAAAAACAACAAAAAACAACCCAAACACTAATTTTACTTTCAAAATGTCACTATGCCAAAAGTTATTAAAGTTTCAGGTTGATGGCTCCTTGACATAATATAGATTTAGTTATCACTGAAAAATCATGAAATAATATTTATTCACCTAGTAAAGCCCTCAATAATCTTATTTTCTCTTTCATATGTGCATAATATATGCAGAGTTCTTTAAAAAAAGGCATATAAATGTAAAATTGTACCCTAGTGAGTATAAAAAACTTCACAAGAGTACTTAAAAGCTGTATGGTAAAATGTATTATGATGGGTTTAGATAGTATGTTTTTTCCCCAACTCATGGATATTTTGTTAAATAACAGAACCTCAAAATGACCTATTTCCATATTAGCATATTGTTAGTACTTTTTGGTTTTTAAAAAGTTTGTGACATATGCTAAATAAGAAAAAGTGTAATAATGAAACTCATATCTACTTAGGCTTTAGATTGTAACATGGATAGCATGGCAGAAGTCTCTTTAAAGACCAATCTACTCTAATAAAAGAAAAATATGAAAATCGACCTTCACTTCCCAACAACCACCAGCCAATCAGGTGTGAATATGCAAATTAACCCGACAAAGGTGGCGACGGCCCCACCCCCAGCCGCTCCGGGACTCTGGGCAGCAAGCATGAAGGCCTGGAGGGCTGGTCAGGGCGGGACTCCTGCTATAAGAGGGAGGGTGGGTGGGTGGAGGGAGCTACAGGAGTGGTGCTCATGCAGAAGCAAAGACTGAAGACTCTGGCTGCAGCAAAGATGGAAGGAGGTGGCCAGAGTGAAGGCCTGAGTCCCAGGTGCTTGAGGAAAACCAGTGCTGGCAGCCAGGGGAAGGAAAATCCTATTGCACGAATTTTCATGCAACTGGCCTCTAGTGAAGAAATAATATCAAGCAGCAAAGTTTTACCACTGGAATAAAATACTAGTAATATTTGGTAATCTTTATTTCACCATGAAATGAGATCGTGACTAGAAATACGTCAAAATTATTTCCTTATTGGAGGAAGTGTACCAGGCACTAAGGGCTTCCCATTTATTAATTCAGTTAATAACTTCAGGAAGTTTGAGTAAATTATCTAAGGTCAAACAGAGGTACAGCTGAGCTATGATGGTAAAAACAAAATCCCCAGAACCAATACTCCGCCAAAGGCAGGGCTGGGAAGTGAAACAGATTAAATGAAAGTCAGAATTTCATTCAAAGCTTTTAGATAGGCCCCTGCTCTTTAGTCTTCAGTAGTACTTCCTTGCTATGAATGGGTTTCAGCCACAGTCCTGAGCCACAACTGCCAGGTATACCTATTTCCATGATTCCATCTGTGGGCTCAGAGTCACCTTTTGGCACTGGCTCCATTCCAAGCACGCCTGCACACCTGCATTCATTCACTCGCAAATGCACATGCAGGTAGCACTGGGCAGTACGGTGGGATCCAACAGTGAGTTCCTTCCTTCATGGTATTTGTAATTCAGAGGCATCATTAGAGATTCTTTGCATCCACATCCCCTCCCTTCCCTATTTTCTGATTGTATCCCTTTGTCTTTTATTGGAACCTGTTTCTCCTACCAGTGGTCGGCAAACTCATTTGTCAACAGAGCCAAGTATCAACAGTACAATGACTAAAATTAATTATGAGAGCTAAATTTTTTAAACTTAAACTTCTTCTAACACAACTTCTTCAAAATAGACTTGCCCAGGCCATGGTATTTTGTGGAAGAGCCACACTCAAGGGGCCAAAGAGCCGCATGTAGCTCGTGAACCACAGTTTGCCGACCATGGTCTTAGATCCTGCAGGCCTGGCTGTAGTTAAGCCCACCTTATCAGACTGGTGATTTTCTGAATCACCTGAAGGGCTTATTTCATAGAGATTGGTGGGCCCTACACCCAGACTTTCTCAGTGAGTGGGTCTGAGGTGAGGCCTGTGGGTGAGCAATGGTGGCAACGCTGCTGGCTTGAGAACTGAACCCTGAGAACTGCTCTCTAGGGCAAAAGTGACCATTCTCCCTTTTTTTTTTTTTTTTTTTTTTTTTTTTTTTTTTTTTTTTGCAAAGGGACAAATGATAAATATTTTAGGGTCGGAGGGCCAGACTTTCTCTTCTGCAACTACTCAATTCTGTCATTTAGCAAGAGCACAGCTAAAGATAATTTGTGAACCAATGGGCAGGGCTGTGTTCCAGTAAATTTTCATTGGCAAAGATAGGCGGTGGGTGGGTTTGGCCCTGGTGGAGTCTGCGGACCCCCTGATGCAGAATGCCAGAGAGGAGCCCATCTCTGCACTGGGCTCCATCCTTACTGGTTGCTCCATCCTGACTGGTTCCCTGGGGCAGGCCCTCCCCTTCCACCCTGGCCTTAGCTCTTCTGGGCCCAGTTCTCTTTCCTCTCCTGGCAATCCTAAACTACAGACAAAGCCTCCTTCCCTGTAATACAGGATTACCACCAGCGAGGAACAGTGCTCCCCCTAAAAACAATCCCATTACTGCATGTTACACAGTCTTCAAAGTAGACACAGGATTGTCTGTGCCTACAAAGGATTAACACAGGAAAGAGTATCTTCTTAGTCTGGGTGGCTCGAAAGCCCATCCAACAGGAGTGAACACTTGACCTGCAGTCCTAAAGGAAGAGTTGAGTCGGTCAAACAATCAGGAGAGGTGGGAGAGGGAATTCCAAACAGAGAAATCACACGTGCACAGACAGAGGTGTGCAAAAGCATATTATGTGTGACAAGCTGCCATCTAGTCAATATGGAAACAATAAGTGAGAGTGAGGTGCGGTGCTGATTTAGGTAACACTGCTTTCGCGGGGTTGCTCTGAGATGTAGAGGGGTCAGTCATGTCGAACGCGTTTTTGGGTAGTATGTTGGGAAAAGGTGAGGCTGGAGAAACCGGTGGGGAAGGGAAATGGTGGGGTCTATGTGTTACGTCCAGGATCCCGAGGCAAAGGGCACCCGGGGAGGAATTCTCAAAGAGGAGGGACAGAATCAGACGTAGGTTTCAGAAAGTTGGCTGGTGGCCCACTGGGGATGGACTAGGAAGACTGGAGGCCACAAGACCATGTCAGAGGCTACGGAGACCTCTTTAGCTTAAAGATATGGTGACCCTGGACCAGGGATGTGCTGTGGCTGTGGGATTTGTAGTTAGTCCACTGCTCTGCATTCCACGGGGCATTGTTCACCCTTATGCTTTTCCTTTTCAACAAAAACAATGAGGTTTAATTTAAAAGGAGAGAACCTCACATCGCTTTCATTTCAG